AACCTTCCTTCCAAGGAGTGGCTGGTGAGTTTGAACCACCAGCCTTCTGGTTAGCAGTCAAATGCCTTAGGCACTATGCTACCAGAGCTCCTCCTAACAACAATGACATCTAAATAAAGCTGTTAAAAATGTCACTTTAAAAAGTAAGATGCACATTACTTCCTAGCAGTGGGCCAATATAGAAAGGGAAAAATAATCAGCTATACAATTGGCAGTGCCCTACGATAAAAACAAATTAGCTGCTCAGTAAAGCACAGCCACTCTTGGTATTGAGACCCACTCTTCCCACAGGCCTCAGTAACAGATGAACTCTCAGTACTATCCTCAGAGTGGAGTAGTTGGGGGAAGCAGCACAGCAATACAGCAAGTATTTCTTATGATGCCCCTCAATACAGGCCAGTAGCAAGAAGCCACATCCAAAGCAAGGACACGGGGCTCATCTTGGCAGGTAGCTCTCATCTTCATACTTAAATAAATTTTAGAAAATTTACAGGAGTATAGAGAAGTGTGAGGGTTTCAGAGCCTTCAGACAATCCTCCATAAACACCATCTCCCTTCATAAAGCGTAGACGACTACTGAGCAGTGATCAAGTTCATTCTAGGCAAATGTCTGAAGTAGACTACTCTGCAACCCAAGTGCTGTGATGGCTAGCTGAGCATGGGATGAGGGAATGAGTACTACACTCATTTAGGTTGGTGTCTTGAGCATTCTAGAGAAACAATCAGATGAACTGCACTGCAAGCTTCACTTTCTCATTTCTCTAGGTCTCCTAGGACTCCAATTATCTTAAAATTTACTTACCCATTTTCATGTATCATTCTAAGATATCTGACTCAATTATTTTGAGCAGGGTACATAAATAAGCTCAAGGTGAGTATTTAAGGAAAAAAAAGGTGCTGCTGAAATAGATTTAAAACACAATTGCAAGCCTTTGGAGGGAGAGAAGGGAAAAGACAGAATGAGAAAGCAAGATTCAGGAAAAGCAGTCATCAGTAGCCTTTCATGTAGTATCCTACCAAACCTTCTAGAACCTGATGATCCAAAATACTGTGACCAGTAGAATAAAAAGTAAAATAGCCTACCTTACATGCTGAGGCAAGCAGAGTCTTTGAATTGCTACAAGCAACACAAAATATTTCATAACCATGTCCATATCTACAATTAAAAAAGAGAAAATAAGTGATATCTGTATTAGTAAATGTACCTATTCTCAAAATTTTAAAAAGTGACAAGGATAACATCAATCCTTCTAGCTAACAGAGGATTCTTTTAAAGAATATCCATTTTCACCTGAACAAATATTTGAAGAAAAAAAGGGATACTTGAGAAAAATGCCAGCTTCCTAAAAGTAATATAATTCATTCAAACAATTAGATTAATGTACAAGTTTCACCTCAGTCCCAGATAGTAAAATAAGCAGTAAACCATGGAAAGGTTTTGATGGGGTCCCAGTAAAGACAAAAAAACTTTTAAAAAGGGAAAAATATATGTAATACTATGACTCTCTATTTAAAAAATTAACAACAATAAGAAATAAAATATACATCGTAATATAAAAATCAATATGAGATTTGATTCCTGTCACCTATATAGAGACAATGAAAGATCTACAGAGCAGGAGGAAATGCAGGCAGGAAAAAGGCAAAGGGGAAAATCAAGATGTGGGGAAGAATCACAAGTTACCAGAGTCAGACCAAAGAGCTAAGTACAGTTTAACTCACAGTTTTTGAACTTCAGGCCACAATGTATTCTGCAAAAGATGATCCTCAGTGGGAGGTTCTATAATAAATTGATAGCACTGCAATTATCTTTTCTATTTAGATGCAAATAAAAAAGTGAATTCTGAGGCATGCGTTTAGGTCAGCAGTTACAGAATACTATGTCAACAGCGATTTTATTAAACCATCTTTTTTTGCCATATCTTACCAGTGAGTATGGAAGGGTGAAAGGCCATATGGTGATACTCAAAACCAGTACTAGTTAACAGTTCCTCTTCATCAGAAGGCTGAGGAGTCATATCGCCTAGTTTGAAGAAATACATTAATATCATAAATATAGTTCTATCTTTGCATCTCCTATGTTGTTTGTTGTTGTTATATGCCTCAAGTCGGGCCCGACTCATAGCGACCCCTCCTTGGGTTTCTGAGGCGGTATCACTATAGAAGTAGATTGCCCCATCTTCCTTCCGAGGAGTGGCTGGTGGGTTTGAACCACCAGCCTTCTGGTTAGCAGTCAAGTGCCTTAGCCACTATGCTACCAGAGCTCCCTATCAAGGTCATCAGATGGAAAGTAGTAGGCCTGGGAATCAAAGCCACATCCACATGATTCCAAAGCCAAGGGTATTTCTGCTACTGTAATATTTTCCAAATGTGTTCCTTGGAACATTACGTTAATTCCATTAACATCTTGTGGTTGTAGAACTCTATGAAACACACTCTGTGAAAGCTCACCTACTCCAGTGGTCTACATGAGTATCATGAAATGAATACATTTGATGAAGAAGACAGATTCATATATTCTAATTTTTTTTAAACAACTTTAATGTATATTAAGTAAATTATAAAAGTATGCAGCCTTTTTTTTTTTACTCTTTTATTGTGTGTTAGGTGAAAGCTTACACGGCAAATTGTTGTTGTTGTTGTTATGTGCCGTCGAGTCGGCCCTGACTCATAGCGACCCCTCCTTGGGTTTCCAAGGCAGTATCACTACGGAAGTAGGAATGCCCAACCTTCCTTCTGAGGAGCGGCTGGTGGGTTTGAACCGCCAGCTGTCTGGTTAACAGGCAAGTGTCTTAGCCACTATGCTACCAGAGCTCCTACACGGCAAATTAGGTTCCCATTTAATAATTTTTATACAAATTTTTCCATGTCATTGGTTACATTTTTCATGATGTGTCAACATTCTCATTATTTCCATTCTTGTTTGTTCTATTTACATTAATCTAGCTTCCCTGCCCCTCTTCAGCTTTTCATCTTTGTTTAAGGGTAAATGTTTATCATTGCATATAGTTGATTATTTATGGGAACACAGTATTCACAGTGATGTTATTTATTTTATAAGTGGTTAGGTTTTAAGTCCCACTACGGTTTCAGTCATTTTGGAAATTAAAGCCTTACCCTGAAATATAGCTTTATTTGATAATCCCAAAGCAGGAACAGAAGCTCCTTCAGGAATATCAGTGTCTTGCTAGAATAAAAAGTATGACATGTAAGTTTTAAAACTAAAACTTATTACTACCTCAGGCATTACAAAAGTCATGCTCATAAAGAGAAAGTTTAAAGGTCACCTTGTGTGGATATCTGGCCATACTCTCACTTCTCAACCAACAGATTCAATTCTAAGCAATCATTCTCCAATAGACAGGTATCAACTAACCCTCAAACCCCACTAATCCATGAAGTCAGGCATTCTCTCATGGACAAGCTCAATGAATCCTAAGAGCTGAATGCATTCCAGTGTCTGACAAGGACTGCATTGGGCTTACTTTGGGCAAAGAGTGGGCTGAAAATGGAAAGTTCAGGTTTCACTTCTAAGAGTCTTATAGGCACATCCCTGATGACGCAAACACAAGTGTTTTCCAGAAAAGCATTTTCATTATATTTATTTAAATAACTTCTAAGACAAATTTCATTTCAAGTGGCAACATTGGTAATTTGTTTATTATATCAATCAAAATATTACATGTGAAGCTACATACTAACCACTAAAACTGGCATATGTCCGTACACTAAGAGTGCTTCTTACAATTGAACTTTAAGACATAGACTGGTACTAGACACAAACATGAGCAATGAGAATGTAAGCTAGCATCAAGAACAGCTACCAAGGACACTTGCTTTATCACGAATCAAGAAAAATCTAACAGCATGAAGAAGAACAATAAGCAGCAGTACTAAATAACTATCCCTAAATTTAGAATGAAGCAAAACCTAAAACACAGCAAGAGGCTTTCCTACAAGAAAATACAGGATTCCTGTATTGTAGGACACAGAATTGAGTGTATCCCTGGGATCAGGCCTCCCATATAATCCTCAAATCCTATTCAATCCCTAGAACTGAGAGATCTGGAAACTAACTACTTCTTCACCCCCATATGCTTAGCTCTATATAATAAGCAAGGAACGCTGATGAGGCAATGGTTGAACACTTGGCTGATAACCAAAAGGCTGGCAGCTCGATCCTACCACCCAGCTGCTTTGTGGAACTAAGACTCAACAATCTGCATCCTAAAACATTTTATGCAACAGTTCTACTCGGTCTCATGGGGTTGCTATCAAAAATGCATTTCATGGCACCTAACAACAACATATGATAAGCACTATCCAGACTTCCATGTTGATCTCATTCCCACTGTCATTGGAAGACTAAAAGAGAACACTCTTAGACCCTCTTCACATAATCAAGAAAGCCTGTGGTGTCAGGTGCTCAGTATATACTTCAGAAAACTAAGTTTATTTCATTTAAATGACACTCAGCTCTTCACTTCTTCTCCAATCTTACCCAGATTGCTACTGCTTAAGGGCTGCCTTTAGTCTCTGTGGGCTCAAATATATCTTGCCTTCAACTAGTTCTCATCATTCAAAAGTGCTTTTCATCAATTTGTTTAGGGCCTCCACCCAGCACCCCCCCCCCCAGTGTGACCTGTGCCTGCATCCCAAGGTCCTCTGCCATTTGACCCTCCCTCTATTCTGCATCTGCCTCTATACACTCTTCACTTGAACAAGGACTCCAACAGCTGTTGCTACCCCCCTGTTTTCTTTCCCTCCTTCTCCATTTTAAAAGCATCCCCAGCCTTTTCAAGCCCAGAATCAAATTTATGGCCCACTCTAAGTAAAGAACAGGACCACATGATGTCCACATCAGTGTAACATACCCATCTTCCTAACTTTTGCCCCTTCCTTTAAATTACTTTATAATGTACACTTGTTATGGTCTATGTATTTTTGTAAGTAGTTCAATTCTTTTATAGAAAGGGGTATAAACATAAATACAAACTTATTCTTATAAAATACAACCTTAAATATTTTTTCATTACTCTAGTACTTCTCCTTCCTATGAAATTTACTTTAGCCCTTCAAAAATTAATAATTAAGTGGTCTCACGTAAAAACTGCAGATAAGTTACATGTATCCCTACTCTCCATCTAGATGGTAATCTCCTTAAAAACAGACTCATTCTTTATATTTTGTTTTATCCCAGGCACCTAGAACAGTGTGACTCATGTCATGCACCAACAGATAAAGTCATGTCTTACTTAAAATTTTAATGATGCTTTACAGTACATTGGGCTAATTTTGTTACACAAAATTTCTCGTTTCAAATTTTAAATCACTATGTCACAGTACACACACAAGTTTGTTGCCAGTAATGATCTTTCTTTCTACCCATACACTCCATTTATAGCCCAAAGTCAAAATTTTTAAAATTTTAAATGAAGAAACCAGATTTACTTAAAACAGTTAGTAAAAAAATACTTACATTACAAAGTATGTGATTCAGTGACTGGCCTGTAATGGCACAAAAATTTTCCACAAAATTCCGAGGAGCAGAAAAAACTCGAAGAACTTTTTCATCTGCTCCAGATACAAACTGGAACCGGTTAATTATGGCTAAACATTTCAGGTCATATCCATGTATCTGAGGCCTTGCAATTTCATGCCAAGTCACCTGTGTATTAAAACAAAAGTATGTTTCAAAAATCAAATTCTTTTCAACAAGCAAAATATTAAGATTTAAAATTATTTATTGTGCTATGGAAATCTAACCATGGGGCAGAATCACCCATGTTGTATCAGATCATTCCTTTTTATTGCTCAGTAATATTCTCTTGTACAGTCACGCCACATTTGTACATCCATTCACCTACTGATAAACATTTTCATTTTCCATTTTGGGCTTTTACCAATTAAACTGTGATTAACAAGTCTCTGCATAGATACATGCTTCCATTTCTACTGGATGAATCCCTGGAAGTGGAATGGCTAGATGACATGGTAGATATATACAGTTAATCTTTGTTACTTGTGGAGTCCACATTTATGAATTCATCTACTCACTAAAATGTATTTGTAACCTCAAAATCAATACCTGCAGAACTCTCATGATATCTGTAGGCATGTACATGTACAGAGCAGCAAAACCCCAAGGTACCCAACACATCTGAGGGCGAACAACACTAGTTCAGTATTTGCTAATTCAGTGTTCAAGGTGACTATATTTGAACAATGAAAATTTACTATATTTAACATTTTAAGAAAACGGCCCAACTATTTTCCAACTATTATACCATTTTACAATCCTACTACTAGCATCATAAAAAGCGCTCTGGTGGCATAGTGCTAAGGCATTTGACTGCTAACCAGAAGGGTGGTAGTCCAAACCCACCAGCCACTCTGCAGAAGAGGATTGGACAATCGACTTCCATAAAGATATACCACTTCAGAAACCCAAAGGCGGTTGCAGTGAGTCGGAATTGACTCGATGGCAGTGAGTCTGGTTAGGTTTGAGCACTGTACAGTTGCTCCACATCTTCTAATTCCAGTAAGTGTGCAATGGTATCCTGCTGTGGCTGTAATCTGCATTTCACTAATGACTGATGGTGCTAAGATTATTTTTCATGTATTTATTTTCCACCATTTAACTTCTTTGGAGAAATGGTTATTTAAATCTTTTGCCTATGTTTTTACTGGATTGTTTATTATTATTTAGTTTTGAAAAGTTCTTCACATACTCTGGGTAAAAGCTCTTCATCAGATATAGGCCTTATAAATATTTCCTCCCAGTTAATGATTTGTGTTTTCATTCACCTAACAGTGACTTTCAAAGAGTAGAAGTTTTACATTTTGGTTTATTTATCATTTTTCCCCTAAAGGATCATGAATTGGTAACATGTATCAACATACATCAACTTACATGTCAAGATCACTCCAGATAACTTGCCTTGTTTTTAAATTAACCATTGATGTTGCTTCCAGTGTCTTCAACTCTATAATTTGAATCTATCAAATGTGCTACTGAAACGATAATGTTAGTGGTGAACTTCATTCATTCTCATGAACTAAATCAGACAGGTGTAAATTTCTGTCAAAAACTGAAGCTGAATATCCTGACTTGCCCCACATAGTAGGTCAGTAACTTCCCAAGTAGTAAAGTTTTATTGTGATTTTTTCAGCTCAGGGCCAAGACCGAAAATTTTCTAAACAAAAATAACTGCCCTCAACCGCTATTATCCAAAACTGTGTGAATTTAGAAACTAGCTTTCACTGCAGACTTGATGCTTCCTAATGAATTCAAACTAAAATTATAAACTGTAACAGCATTTCTATGAATAATAAAATGTTATTTCAAAGGCAACTAACATTGGAACATCTGAATCTCAAGAGTATCTCCTTCCAAAGTGATGTTGTTGTTGTTATAGGCCATCAAGTCGGACCCGACTCATAGCGACCCCTCCTTGGCTTTCCGAGGCAATATCACTACGGAAGTAGATTGCCCAACCTTCCTTCCGAAGAGTGGGTGATGGGTTTGAACCGCCAGCCTTCTGGTTAGCAGTCAAGTGCCTTAGGTGCTATGCTACCAGCACTCCCTCTGTAGTGATACCACCTTGGAAATACCAGGAGGGGTTGCTACAAGTCAAAATTGACTCGACGGCAGTGAGTTTGGTTTTTTTGGTTTTGGCCCTTCACAGAAAAAATTTAACAACACCTGGATGGAGAGACAATGGGGAGAAACATTTCTTTGGAGGTTGTTGTTGTTGTTATTTGCCATTGAGTCGGACCCGACTCATAACAACCCTTCCTTGGGTTTCCGAGGCAGTATCACTGTGGAAGTAGATTGCCCAACCTTCCTTCCAAGGAGTGGCTGGTGGGTTTGAACCGCCAGCCTTCTGGTTAGCAGTCAAGTGCCTTAGGCACTATGAAAAAGTACTCCTGATGAAGTAGAAGGAAATAATCTAAAATATTAATAGATTATCATTGGGTAGTAAAACTACAAGTGATCATTTTTTCTGTATTTGTCTTTAAAATTCTTTTAAGATAAGTAAAAGGGTAAGTAAATAAAATACTACTTCTGAATCTTTCTTTACCATTAAATACAGCTTGAGCCCCAGGACAAATGACTATAGGAATAGAAATGGATTATTAGGAATTAAGACTACTAGGAATAAATATGTTGTAATATTTTAATTTCTACATAAAGCAAACAAAACCATGCTCATAAAATGTTTTAATAGTAGTATTTACTGAGGGCTCTCTATGAGCCAGACACTATTCAAGGGCTTTACATGCATGAACTCATCTAATCCGGTAACAATTTCCGTTTTACTGATGAGGAAATGAGTCACAGAGAACTTAATTAACTTGATTAAAGTCCCACAACTGTTATGTGGGAGAGCGAGGAAATGACGGGTTGCAAAGGCCACACTCATATCCAATATGCTAAACTATCTCTGACTTTCAAAATCTATCCGGTTTCCAAATTGGTTTGAATAGCAACCAGGAGTGAGGGATACTACATTATGTAAAATTATTTCTGAATTACAAGCAAAGAGAGCTTGGAAAATGAGGTATTTATCAAAAATGTATCTGTTTCTATTCAATGCTGAAGTTTTGAGAGGCAGAGTTGGATGATGAGGCTCTCCTGTATTTATAAAGGGGAGACTGGAACAAAAAATAAAAGGAGAGACAACGCAGTTATACTTATGGTTTCCTTTCCTTGCATTTAAGAATTCTGGTGTATCAAAAGTTTAGTTTCCCTTAGTGAACTTTTTTAATAATTTTTTTTTTTTTTTTTTTTTTTTACTGAAGTATAACAAGCCTACAGAAATGTGCTTAATTAGTAAGTTACAGCTGGATGAATTTTTACAAAGTAAACATACCAGTACCCAGATCAAGGAATCAAACATTATCAGCATCCGGAACTCCCTGAATTCCTAGTTCCAGTCACCTCCTCCCACTGTTCAATATACCACTATCCTGGTATGTGAAAACAGTTTTAAACTTTGCTTTTAAAAATAAAAATACTACACAGTACAAGGAGCTCTGGTAGCGTAGTGCCTGAGGCACTTGACTGCTAACCAAAAGGCTGGCATTCAAACCCACCAGCCACTCCTCAGAAGGAAGGTTGGGCAATCTACTTCCGTAGTGATACTGCCTTGAAAACCCAACGAAGGGTCGCTCTGAGTCAGATTTGACTTGACGGCACTTAACAACAATAACAATATATAGTACAACTGACCATTTCTGGGAGATAAAGCTCTATCATAATTTTAACATGTGTACAGATAGATTCAAGTAACCACTTCTATAATTGGGATACAGAACAATTCCATCATTCCTAAAAACACCTTCTGCTATCCCTTTAGTTACATTCTTCCCTCATACCTTTCAATAAAAAAAACTACCTCAAAAAACCTCACTGTGGTCAACTTGCCTCTGACTCACAGCGACCCCTCCTTGGGTTTCCGAGGCCATATCACTACACAAGTAGATTGCCCAATCTTCCTTCCGAGGAGTGGCTGGTGGATTTGCACTGCCAGCATTCTGGTTAACAGTCAAATGCCTTAGGCACTATGTCACCACAGGTCCTTCCCTCATACCCAACTGATAAAAACTGATCTGTTTCTTTTTCCCAGTAATTCTCTTTTTGAGAAGGTCATTCAGATGGAGTTATGTTATTGTTGTTGTTAGGTGCCACTGGGTCATTTCCAAATCATAGTGACCCTATGCACAGCAGAATGAAACACTGCCCGGTCCCATGCCAGCTCCACAGTCATTGCTATACTTGAGACCACTGCTGCAGCCACTGTGTCAATCCATCTCATTGAGGGCCTTCCTCCCTTCATGGACTATCCACCTTACCACACATGACATCCTTCTCCAGGGAATGGTCCCTTCTGACAACATGACCAAAGTAGGTGAGATGACGTCTGGGCATTCTTGCCTCCAAGGAGCATTCTGGCTGCACTTCCCCCAGGACAGATTCGTTAGATCTTTTAGCAGTCCATGGTACTCTCAGCATTCTTTGCCAGCATCACAACTCAAAAGCATCAACCCTTTTTCAGTCTTCCTTATTCACTGTCCAGCTCTCACATGCTTATGAGGTGACTGAAAATACCACAGGTTGTGTCAGGCACACCGTGGTAGTTCAGTTGCATGTCAATTTGGCTGGGCCTGGTTGACTGGCTGGGCAGCTGAACGTAGTATTCCCCATGATGAGACTGGTAATCAACTCCAAGGTGGAATCTACTGGGAGCAGCTACGTAGCTGCCTTATGGAATGTGGTCTGCTTCCTATATATAAGGAGAAGCCTTGGGTATAGTCTCAAGCTTATGGCACGCTTGGACCCCACATGTAGCCGTGTTCAACAGCCTGCCATGCTCTGCCAACCTTGGAACTTACAATGGACTTGGATTAATAGCCTGTGTGGTTTGGTAACATCAGGACTGTGCCATTTTATTTGTCGACCTTGGCTTGTTAGCCTCAGCAGCCAGTAGCTGCCTGAGTGAAGAGATGCTTCTAGCTTCAGTGGGCTGGGAGCAAGAGGCAAAGCTGAAGCCCAAGGTTGAGGGGCTTTCACACAGTCCCTAAAGCCTGGCACTTTGAACTCAGACTTAAAGCTTCCAAATTGCAAGAATAAACTCCTATTTGTTAAGGCAATCCCATTTGTGGTATATTCTTGTCAGAGCAGCACTAGGTAACCAGAACACACATCTTAGTCCTCAAGAAGATACCTTTGCTCTTCAGCACTTGAAGGAGGTCCTTTGCAGTCGATCTGCCCAGTGCTTCACATCGTATGATGTCCTGACTACTGCTTCCATTGGCATCGATTGTAAACCAAGCAACGTGAAGTCTTTGACTTCAACCTTTTCTCCATTGATCACGATGCTGCTTATAGGTCCAGTTGTGAGGATTTTTTGTTTTCTTTATATTGAGATGCGGGAGCTCTGGTAGCATAGTGCCTAAGGCACTTGACTGCTAACCAGAAGGCTGGCAGTTCAAACCAACCAACCACTCCTTGGAAGGCAGTAGTGATACTGCCTCAGGAAACCCAAGGAGGGGTCGCTATGAGTCGGGCCCAACTTGACGGCACATAACAACAACAACATATTGAGATGTAATCCATACTGCAGACTGTATTCTTTAATCTTCATTGTTGTTGTTATGTGCTGTCAAGTCGGACCTTCATTAGTGCTTTAAATCATCCTCACTTTCAGCAAGCAAAGTTGTGTAGTCAGCGTATTGCAGGTTGTGAATGATTCTTCTTCCAATCTTGATGCCACGTTCTTCTTCATATAGTCCAGCTTCTTGGATTATTCGCTCAGCATATAGATTAAATAAGTATGGTGATACAAAGATACAACCCTGACGCACTCCCTTTTTGATTTAAAACCATGCAGTGTCTCCTTGTTCTGTTCAAATGACAGCCTCTTGGTCTATGTACAGGTACCTCATGAGTACAATTATGTGTTCTGGAATTCCCATTCTTCTCAATGTTACCCATAATTTGCTATGATCCACACAATCAAATACCTTTGCATAGTCAATAAAACCTAAGTAGATATTTTTCTGGTATTCTTCGCTTTGAGTCAAGATCCATCTGACATCAACAATGATGGAGTCATATAACATACACAATCCAGCACTTGGTGCTGCTTTTTTTTCTCCTTCTCTCTTTAGTCATTCTAGAGGTTGTGTAGAGGTATCTTATAATGTCTTTAATTTGCATTTCCTAATGGCTAACAAAGGAGCTCTGACAGGACCGTGCCTAAAGCATTTGACTGCTAACCAGAAGGCTGGCAATTCAACCAGCCACTCTGTGGAAGGAAGATGGGCAATATACTTCCGTAAAGATTTACCCCTTAGAAACCCAAATGGGGTCACTATGAGTTGGAACCGACTCAATAGCAGTGAGTTTGGTTTGGTTTTTTGGTTAATGGCTAACAAATCAGCCCTGGTGTTGCAGTGGCTAAGCACTCAGCTGCTAAGCAAAAGGTCAACAGATAGAAGTCACCAGCAGCTCTGCAGGAGAAAGATGTGCTAGTCTGCTTCCATAATGATTACAGCCTTGGAAACTCTATGGAGTTCTACTCTGTCCTATATAGTCACTATGAGTCAGAACTGATTCATAGGCAATTGGTTTAATGGCTAGCAATGGTGTATCCCTTTTTTTTTTTTTTTTTAATGTAGATCAATTAAACAGGGAGACGTTTTACCTGTGATTGGTCTTTTCTCTTCCATGGAGCAAAAAGGCGTGTTGTCTGGTCAGTACCAACTGTGATGATAAATTCTCCTTCTGGATCCCACATCAGATCTTGGACACCATCAAAGTGTCCTGAAATGACAATCTCTGGAGTCCACTCTTTCTGTAAAGAATGTGTTCGTGACATATCATTTCATTAAACATGAGCACCACTTAAAAAATAAAGCTGTCATATTTTATAATGGGTAACACTGAAGCCCCCTACCAAGATGAAAAGCCAAATATGGGCTCTAAAATATTGGGATCATAGAATAATAGGATCCTTTTCCCATCAGACATATTAGAACTTAAAAGATTCAAATCTGTGTAGTAATCTTGGGCAATTCCACTCTTTCAACATTACTGAACGCCTCCTAGAGCCAGCCATTACATAACCTTTTTGTGCCTCAATGAACACTTCTGTAAAATAGAGATGTAGTAATAATACCTACCTCACAGGGTTCCTAGTAGGCTTGTATGGGTTTATATTTGTGAAGCATGCAGAACAATGTGGGCACATACCAGGCAGTATATTTATTAAACTAAACAATGAAGAAAGAGTATTGTGTAAAGTTAAGTCGATGGATTCTGTGTGCCTGATGGCTTTATTAAGTAAAAAGAGTTGTACATGTACAGGACAGAAATCTGGATCAAACCTAGTTGATTCATCTATGGAGGAGCCTAGAGTCACCATGTGAACAAACAATGACAACAAAATAAAGAAAATGTCATATGCCTGGTCTATAGGACACTCTTTTAAACAACTTCAAGTGGTGCAAAAACTTGATCTTTAGAGGAGAATTAAATTTGCATAAATAGCCAAAAGACCATTCAAAACCTAGGCTAATGAATAGAGTCAGTGATTAAGCTAAGCTGTAGTGTTTTCTGGCCAAAAAAAAAAGGGCTGTGACAAAGAAATACTATTAATTTCCTCTGGGAAACAAAGACTGATTCTGAAGTTAGAACTAATGGGAGTCTTAAAAAACTTTCAACAACAGGCATTACTTTTAGACTAAAAGTACCGTTTTCCAAAATAACAGTGTAAAGGGCAGTGTTTATTTGCACATGTAGGACCTGGTGTATTTTTTAAAGTTATTCTCAATACTTGGTAAGAAACATCATAAATACAAAGTCAAATTATAAACTCAAAAATGGATAGCCATGATGTCTTTTGGTTCTTTAGTGCCGCTCTAACGAAATACCACAAATGAGTGGCTTTGACAAAGAGGAGTTTATTCTCATACAATTTTGGAGGCTAGAAGTCTGAGTTCAAAGTGCCAGCTCTAGGGACTGAGTGAAGGCCCTTCGACCTTGGGCTTCAGCTCTGCCTCTTGCTCCTGGCCCACTGAAGCTGGAAGCTTCTCTTAACTCAGACAGCTGCTGGCTGCTAAGGCTGACAAACTCAAGGTAGACAAATAAAAATGACACAGTCCCTAAATTATTAGGCAACATGGCAAGCTGTTAATTCAAGTCCATTAACAGTCCCAAGATCAGTAGACAACATAGCAGGCCACTGGGATGAAGATTCTGCCAAATGCAGGATCCAGATGTGCCGAAAGCTTCAGAGACCTGTCTCTATGCTGCTTCTCATCCTTAAGACAGCTAGCTGCTCAGCTGCTCCAGCAGACTCCACCATGGAGGTGATCACCACTCTCATCATGGGGAATAACTACCTCCAGCTGTCCAACCATTCACAACCAGGCCCAGCAGAGTTGACACACAACTTAACTACCACATCATGGCTACACAATATGATAAACAATGAATAAACTACACATATAACAATTGCTGAAATGGCAAATGTTTTGTTATACATATATTACATATATATGTTATATGTATATATAAACAATTATATGCACAAGTACAATGAAACCCTGCCTTTTTTTTTTTGAGCTCCTCTTTACTCACCTGACAATCTTTTCTGTGGAAATACAGCTGAAATACAGCTCAAAGGAGCTCTGTGTTAAGTATGAAATTAAATTGAGAAAGCATCTTACACTTTAAAAGTGTCATTGATGATTCACTGATTCATTTAACAGTGAAAACAATCTTGATGGTCAAAAGGGAAAGAGTAAATCACCTTATGGATTAAGAGGTCAGAACACATAGGCAGACACAACTGTTACAAAGCTCACACACTAAAAGCTATACAAATCCATGAATTTTTTTCGTTATAAAGGAAGTATCAGATGCACATTCAGAATCTGCTAACACAATATTCTTACTTCTTTCACTTACTTAATTTATAATATACTTATATACTATCCAGTTTGTATCAGGTGGTTTTACATACTTTACAAATACTAACTCCCCTTATTTAATCATCTTAACTCATTTTCTCTTTCATCATAAAAACCTTATGAATAGATGCTATTAGTATTCCTATTTCAGAGGTAAGGAAACAGAGACAAAGACAATGTCCACAAAGTTACGTATGCCAATGAGTGGTGGGGACAGGATCTGAATCCATGCCTTCTGGCCCATGCCCTTAGTCACTATATTCTTGCTGTCTAATTTCTCTAAGGAGCTCTGGTGGCACAGTGGTTAAAGCATTTGACTGCTAACCAAAAGGCTGGCTGTTCAAACCTACCAGTCACTCTGCAGGAGAAAGATGAGGTAGTCAGTTTCCACCAGATTTACATCCTTGGAAATTCTATAAAGCTGGGAGCATAGTACCTAAGGCACTTAACTGCTAACCAGAAGGCTGGTGGTTCAAACCCACCAGCCACTCCTTGGAAGCAAAGTTGGGCAATCTACTTCCATAGATACTGCCTCGGCAACCCAAGGAGGGGTTGCTATGAGTCGGGACTGACTTGACGGCACAACAACTCTGCCCTGTGAGGTTGCTATGAGTTGGAATTGACTCAACAGCAGTGGGTTTGGTTTTGTGTGGTAATTTTCCTCAACTCAAAGATAACTGATCAGAAGTAAACTAGAGCATAAGAGAAGGAATACTGCTGAGAGGTGGCTGGCTACAGGAAGAAGACAGACTACCTCTGTTTAAGAGGAGAAAAAAAATTTTTTTAAAAGTTCGAAATTTGGAGGGTCAATTAGAATTAAACATATCATCAGCCCTTGAGAGCACTGATATATTCGTCTACAAAGTAATGGGATCCTAATACCTTTTCTGTCACTGATTCATTTAATAACTATCTACAGAGCCCTTAGTAATCCAATAAGAAAATGTTAAACTATGTTATACTCTTTAAAACAAGGAAGTTACACATTTTAGGAAAACACCCATCAAAAAAAAAAAAAAAAAAGATGTAGCTTAAAGGAGTTGTATTAGGTGCTCTCAAGTGGCTCCTGATTCATGGCAGCCCCATGCACCACAGAACCAAACGCCGCCCAGTCCTGCAGATCCCCTGTGGACTGGACCACTGTGTGCCACAGAGTTTTACTGGCTGATTTTCAGAAGCAGATTTTCAGGCCTTTCTTCCTAATCCATCTCAGCCTAGAAGCTTCACTGAAACCTGTTCAGCATCACAGCAACTTGCAAACCTCCACCGACAGATAGGTACCAGCCACATGAGGTACACTGGCCAGGAATCAAACCAACATACATTTCACTTATACTGAAAATTAACCTATGTGCCAATAATTTTTTCCTATGTGCAAATTTTAACAATGTTGTAGAAATAAGCAGTTTTGTCGTTAGAAAAAAATTGTTTCCGAACCAGCACAACTACAGAATAATGTCTATAGAAATAAGTGATAACATTTGAACTTAATTTGCTTTTATTGTGTTTCTGAAGAGTGTTACAAGTAAAACAACACTGTTTAGCTAGATTTCATTTAGGATTCACAGTAGCTAAAGAGAAAGCTTTCATTTAAAAATGCTTCTTACTGGGTTAGCTGCACTCTGCTTCCAAAGGTGCAATGCTCCGTGGAAAGCATGTGCAATGATCATGGAGCCATCTTCATTGAACTGGCAATCATAGAACCCCAGAGTATTCCCACCAACTTCACCTACTCGAACCTACACAAAAATAGAAAACAATTCTCAATCAATAGTCCACAGTGCACTTAGTGGAAGTCATTTGATTCCAGAGGCCATTTCAACTCCTAGTCATTTAACACAAACAGTGAAAACTGGCAGTTAGAGAAATATATATTTGAAATTGAAATTCAGTTTATAAAACCCAATTTTCTGTTTCTTAAACAAATATCCACATTTTCACCTGTTCTAGCCAAACTCCTGACTCTTCATCTGGGGACCAAAGAATCATGGTTTTATCCATTGAGGCAGACAGCAATCTCATCGGTTGCTGTAGAATACCATCTAAGGAAAAAAAAAGTAATGCCTTCAGGTGATCAACAAGCATCATTTTTGTAATTAGCAGGAAAATAAATAAATAAATAAGTCACAAAAACACCACCACCAAAAACCAAAAGTATTGCTAATATTTTCAGTGCATTATTGTTTGTAATAGCAAAAATTTAGGGAGAAAAACCATAAATATCTACCATTAGAAGAACTGATTAAAAGGTCATGGTTTAATCAGACAATGGAGTATATACTGCAATAAAAGTAAGTAAACTAGAGTTACATGTATCAACATGGATACAACTTCAAAACGTGAAGTTAAAGAAGTTGTAAAAGGATAAACATATATCAATACTATTAAGGTTTAATAGCTGTAAATTAAGATTTATGGTTACATAAACGTGTATTAAAAGCACAAAGAAATGTATGGGAAGGATACACACAAATTTAGGACTGTAGATACCTCTACAAAAGGATGGAGGGACATGGGACCAGGAAGAGGTATACAGAGGGTTCTCAACATCCTTAACACCTAATTTATTTAAAAACAAACAAACAAACAACTGCAGCAAATACGGCAGAACATCAGCATCAGCTAAATGCTGGTAACCTGAACACTAACTGTTCTTTTTTTCTGTACTGGGGAGAAGAATGTGAGGCTGTGCCCTGCTCAGCTCTATACCCCAGCACCCAGTCATGTCTGCAGAGAACCCTCACTTCAAAAATGGTCGAGGACAAAAGAAGGAAGAGTAAGACAGTCTTGTTTTTTCATAAATAAAGCAGTTCAATATCATCAAGGGTAAAGGTTCCTATGAATTAGGTTTCAATTTCTCTTAAATACCATGAGATTAGGAGAAAATTTTTAAGAGAAAAAGTGAATGAATGGGGGGTGTGTGGTCATTTCAACATATATTTTTTTTAATAGTGTAATTTTCAACTGAACTAAGAGTTCAACAGAATAGGACTGCTGTATTGGCCTTAGTCAACTTGAAAATGTCTTATATTTGGGATTCTTATCATACTATCTAAAAAAAATTCTCCAAGTGTTTAGCCCCAAATTCTATGTATGAGGTTTACATGAAAGGAGGAATATATGTATCTTTTCCTTCCTACCTTTGTAAAATGAAGGTTGCCAATGAACTGCATTTACCCAGTTTTCATGACCAGCTAGCACAGTCTCTAGAGTAACAGCAAATTCTATTTTAATACCTGTAACAAAAGCAGTGAATGTATTCTTTCCTCAAAGCACTTCTGAAAACAAACTATAATAGCTTAAATTCCACAAAAAGAACAAGCATTCTAAAATTCCATGAACTTCACCCACTGTTCAAGGTTACAGGAGAAAAAAAAAAAAAACAGTAAAGATAGAAATATTATTCTATACTTGATCATAAACAAGTATTAGGGAATATACTCCATTTTTTTTGTAATTTCTAGGGATAGGCACTGCTATACTACAATTAACAAGCAAAAAACAGACATGTCAGCTTCCTAACTGTCTTCACCCGTTATCAGTCTAATAGTCTAAAACAGTAAGAAAGAACTCAAGATTACTGGAAACCAAACCAGTATTTTGACTTTTCAAACAAAATAATTTAAAAAAATCAAGAAAAATTTCCTATTTGGGTATTAAAAAAACCCTCCAAACTCACTGCCATCGAGTTGATCCCAACTCATAGTGACCCCAATTGGGTTTCCAAGGCTGTAAATCTTTACAGAAGCAGACTGCTCCATCTTTCTTCTGTGGAGCGGCTGGTGGGTTTGAACTGTCAACCTTCTGGTTAGCACCCAAATGCCTTAACCATTGTACCACCAGAGTTCCTTTTATTTGGGTATAGTACTGAACTATGTTACCAGAATCTCAACTATAATAGATTTTATAATCAAGAGGAGTAAGAAAGAACAGTATACCTGCATGAACACTGCTCATTGAAGACTAATTTTTTACACCACCAGAGCTCCCATAATTTAGACACATATCCAAAAATATCTCCTTCAAACGTAACATTCCACCAGGACCCACCATGCAGGCAGGCGTACTATTCTGATGCCAGACAGTAATGTTGTATTATTGTTGTTATGTGCGTTGAGTTGGACCCAACTCATAGCGACCCCTCCTTGGGTTTCCAAGGCAGTATCACTACAGAAGTAGATTGCCCAACCTTCCTTCCAAGTAGCTGGTGGGTTTGCATCACCAGCCTTCTGGTTAGCAGTAATAAAAATCAGAATTATATATACTATCCACATGTAGGATTTCAGCTTCTCTCTTATGAATATCCTCCAACAAAGCTATGGATAACTCACACTATACCTTTACATCTATTTAAGATTAATGAGATTTCAAAAAATTCTAAGGATGATAAAAATAAGTTGTTCCCATGCTAAAACTGACAATTTGTTAACATTTAAACAATTTCTGAGAGAACATTAAACATTATTTTCAGAAATTAAAAAAAAAAAACCTAGTAATTGCTTATAAGAAAACCAAGTTACATATACAGAAAATGACTCATCTTCATACAGAAAATTAAAAAGGAAAAATTCATATTATCAATTTTAGGCAGGGATCTGACACTTCTGAAAAACTAACCCTCACACAGGTGTTGGGTGATACAAATTTTTGAACTAGCTAAGAAAGCCAACTACAGCTACATCAAATATTTTCATTACTCACTTTCATTTTCTATAGTGAAAGTATTTTCCTTCAGTCTTATATTATCATCATCTTGCATTTCTAAAGATGTCGATTTTATATATAGCCTCCATATTCTTATCAGACAATCTTGTGAACAGCTTGCTAGGAAAAGACCTCTACCTAAATATAAAAACAAATTTTGTTACTTTTTAAAACATTATATCTTAAACTTAGGTATAAAACTTTCTCTTCTACAATTTGCACATTTCTAATTTTCCAAAAATATTATCCACTGCTTTCTTATCTTGTATGCATTTACCTACCTTTCTTTTCATTAACATTAATATATATACAACACTAATAAATATTTATAACACATGGTACTCTTATACACAGTCTGTAAGTTCTAGAGAACTTTTCAGTCACGTATGCATGAGGAAGGGTCAGCTTGTGTCAGCTCTCTCTTTATTTTTCGGTAGCATCTTAGAAACATCAACTTGCTCCATCCTCTATCACCCCGATTAATATGAATTGATTCTGACTCACAACCCCCATTGGGTTTCCAAGGCTGTAAATATTTACGGAAGAAGATTGTCCCATCTTCCTTCCGTAGAACAACTAGTGGGTTTGAACCACCGACTTTCTGGTTAGCAGCCAAATGCCTTCTCCACTATGCCACCAAAGCTTCTTAAAAGTTAATATAAGAGAAAAATAATCTCTTACCTAATTGGGACAATATAAAAAATTAATTTACAAAGAAAATTATAAAATTAAAACATAAAAGAGACTGCTTTCTTGGAAATTACATATACTTGGCCCCATCATTTGTCACAACAAAATCTCATACTGACCAAAGATTGCCCATTCCACGCCTCTTATCCAATCCTCATGTCCACAGAGAAAAAGAACTTTCTGAAACTAGTAAGAAAACAAAATCATCAGGTTTAATGTAAGAATTTAACAATTTCTTGAATATTAATGACCTCATTCATACTAGTGACTGGTCTCAGCCAGCTCTATTGCATCAATTTTTATTGGGAACACTACCTCATTAGACTTAGGATAAAAGACTCAAGGACTCAAGTAGAAACAAAAACACCTTATAAAACAGGTACCCCTACTTTTCAAAAGTTCACTTTATGACATTTCACTTTCATGAAAAACCTACATTAATACCTGTTTTCGCTAACTGAAAGAAATCTGAGGACAATTTTCACCGTTACAGAAAAATGTGAAAAGTGAGTTCAGGGTCTGTTTTGCAGCGAGCCATTAAAGAGGCAGCCTGCAGCTCCGGCAGCAAGAGTGGCATCGTCAATCTCCTTCCCCAGGAACCACCCGGGAACTTGGACAGCATCTCAACAGCAAGCTGCCAGTTTTCAACCATGTCTGTGAGCACTACGTATTAGTGTTGTTTTAGGCTTTATGTGTTACTTAGTTTGATTCTGTAGGTTATTATTTGAGTCTGTGAATGCTCAAAATTTTTCCCATATAAATTAGTGGTAATTGCTTCTTCATTTTATGCCATTTCAACTTATAAATGATTTCACAGGAATGCTTTATTTTCAGATAGTAAGGGAAACCTGTATAAAATCTAAATCATCCAGCTGAGCAACCCTGAGTATATTAAAATATAACATCTATAGACCTTAAAAACTCTAAATGTTCATGAGGTAAAATGACATGCTGAGGACACAATGTAGAAAAAAGCTAATTAGTTTCATATTTTTATCCTTTCTTACAGAATGCAAATAAATAAATAATCCCATTATTAAATAAATGAGCATAGTTACCCAACCCCTTTTCTGAAACAAATGTGTCCCTATTTAGATTAACCACTGTAAGTATAGGTACAGCTCAGAAAGGTAAATCAATACTACCAGGGACACTTCACTACAGGTGTATTATTATAAAATAGAACAACAACAACAAAATCCAAACATCCATTGAGTCATTTCCAACTCATAGTGACCATGACAGAGTAGAACAGCCCCATATGGTTTCCAAGGCTGTAAATCTTTATGGAAGCAGACTGACACATCTTTCTCCCATGGAGTGGCTGGTGGGTTTGAACCACTAACCTTTTGCTTAGCAGCTGAGTGCTTTAACCACTATGTCAGCAGGGCTACTTAGGTATATTATACCTCATTTAAAATTTTTAACAACTGTCAGGGAGTATTTCACTGTAGGTGTATTATACGTCATATAAAAATTTTAAGGGGAAAATCGTAAAACAAAAACACTACTAGACAATCTCATTCTCTCACCTACTGACCCTTTTCCCCCCAAAACAACTGTGGGCTTGGTGACCTAAGCAACAGTTACATGAAATTCAAACAAGAGAGTGAGGAATCATCTGTGAGAGGATTGTCAAACAAGACTCTCCTCTTATTTTGTTTTGATTAGAAAAGCCTTAAGACTTTAAAATCTGGAAATAGTCTGAATTAAGTAATCAATAAGAACATAATTCTAGTGTCTTATTAAACATAATTAATTACCTGATCATTCTGTTGAACAAGTAAGTGAATTTTGCAGTCGTCATCACCACATGCTAGTACTGGTACTGGGGGAAAAAAGGTTCCACTGTAAGTATTCCATCACGTGTTGTGAGTATCTACTGCCTATGCTGGATTCTGAGTGCTAAGCAAAGAATCCTGATTCTACTTCCTATACTACCAATTTCCAAATAAATTGGCAATGCTGAATAAACATCTACAGGAATAAAATGGTTTTATTATTAAATGGTTACTTGACAAAGAACGATTTTTAATAAACTGAGAGTGCTTCCCCCTCCATTCTATGCTGTTTATGATAGACGTAATGGTCAGAGAGATGCAGGGAAGGGATATTTTCACCTTCTAAGTCAGAAGACCAAGATGAAAAGTTGTCAGTTCAACAGAATAATAAAAGAGCTATTATGAGTCCAGCATCACAGATGTTACAGAAAGATTTAAGGGTATAAGATGTTTGTTACTTTGAGGATCTTATATTTTGCTTGTGATTTCAATTAAAAAACAAAATTCATAAAACAGTCAGAGAACAAGATAAAAAAGCATGTTATTAAATATATGGTTAAAAAAGCCAGAAAAGGTACAAATGTTAAATTAGTTTTCTTTAATAAGATAGAAAAGTAATTCACAACAGCAAAGGACAGCCCTATGAGTCTGGAGCACAGATTAACAAAGGAATTCTGTAAAAAAAAAAAAAAAAAATTCTTGCCATTAAGGATATTTTTCAAATACATTTTAAGCCAACTTAAAATACCATGTTTTGGACTCAAGGCAGAGGAAAAGAAATTGCTCTGTTTTGAAACCAGGTGTGTAATTCCTCCTCCCAGATAGCCCTCACACTAAGGAGAAGCATAACATGAGATCACAGCTCCTGTCGCAGAGGACAAAAGAGGCGGAGGCTTCTGAGCCCTGTCTCTCTCTGTCTCAGTCTAAGTCTGGTTCCTATGTAACTGAAGAGGCAAAGAGACTGACTTTCAGAACAAAAGAAACTTTTCTGTTTGGAAAATTTAAGTGGTCTTAGGCAAACTGTCAATATGTGGGATGTGAAGTGGCTATGATCTTGAGAGAAATGCTCACATAGTCCACCATCAGTATTTTCTGTCTTTCACTTTACCCCATACCTTCACAAGGAGGGGTTGCTGAGTCAAATCGACTTGACAGCAGTTGAGTTTGATTGGTTATTTTGTTTTTGATACCTTCATCTTCTAAAGAATTAAATAATTTCACCAAATTAGATATATACATTCACAATATATTTCATAAATAACATCAACCTGAGTTTGTATTAAGTCACTTAAATTTTCAACAGCTACCAACATTTCTAATAATTTCCCTTAACTCAGATCATTAATATTCTAAGTCAAAAGTTATGTTAGCTACCTCTCAACTTGTTTCATGGAAACATTTAGGTACAACCCTGAGACCAAAACACTTCTTTTAAATATACAAACATATTGTTCTTAATATACTTAACAGAATACTCACCATCAGTGTCAGGCAAAAAAGATAAGGAGAGAGTCAGAGCAAATCCATTTCCAAAGTCCAAGGTCTGAAGGCATATTACTGAGAAATAATACAAAACACCATGAACAACTAACTCAGCTTATCTACCTAGAGGGGCTGGGTAGCATCATTACAGCCCTGGGGGTCAGCAGGGAGGTAAGAGTTAATCCTGAGCTAACAGAGAGAAGAAAAAGCCCAAAAACTAGATGTGAGGCAACAATGACTCTCCTACAAACATAAACATCATTATGTGAATTAAAATGGCCAATTTTTAACAGGGTTACAATGATCAAAATGACTTATGAAAAACTTATATTGACATATGAAGAAACTTAAATTGACAAACAGTTTGGTATAGAGGAATTTTGAAAAAGTACAAAAGAAAACAATAAATAAGATAGGAATTTTAACATTTTGGACCTTAAACCAAAAATATCACCTGAAGTCTTCTTAATAGCAAACAACAGTTTAGCTAACTGTAGTGCCTAAGCCATTTGACTGCTAACCAGAAAGCTGGTGGTTCAAATCCACCAGCCACTCTTTGGAAAGAATGTTGGGCAGTCTATTTCCATAGTGATAATCCATTGCCATCAAATTGGGTCTGATTCATAACGACCTCTCCTTGGGTTTCCAAGGCAGTATCACTACAGAAGTAGATTGTCCAACCTTCCTTCTGAGGAGTGGCTGGTGGGTTTGAACCACCAGTCTTCTGGTTAGCAATCAAATGCCTTGGCACTATACCACCAGAGCTCTCTCCAAAGTGATACTGCCTTGAAAACCCAAGGAGGGGTCGCTATGAGTCGAATCAACTCGGCAGCAATGAGTTTGGTTTTGGTTAGTAAAGAATCCCTGCCTTGAGCATTGTGCTCTTTAAAGATCTATCTATTTGGGATCAAATTGACAACAGCAACTCAAAAGGTTAGACAGGAACCTTAGGGGGCAATGAGTTTATGTTAATTGGGAACAACTCAGAAAAGGAGGATGGGAATGGTTGCACATTTCCAAGAATATAATCAATGTGACTAAACTGAGCATGTAGAAATTCTTGAATCAATGTATGTTTTGCTATGTATATTCTCAACTACAAAAAATAAATTATATATATTTAAAAAACAGAATGAGAACATTTATAAAGCTACTTAAAAGTTTGAAAAACTTAAAATACATGCTCTTCAAGTTGTCATTCATTTAACTATTTTGCCTTGTCTGGGTTATATAATCTGTTCCCAAACTTACCTTCTGAACCCGTTTTAGACCAGATTCGAACAGTTGAATCTGAAGCCGCAGAAACCATCAATGTGTGTGATGTGACGTCTGATGCCCTCCTCTGGTAAACAGCACACACTGAATTAACAGGTCCTTCATGGCCTTGGAGAGGGACTGCTTTTAAAAGCTGAACCAGAAGGAATGATAAAAACATTATAATTAAAAAAGTAATGATCAATTTCACCGTATTTAACTGGAATCACAGGATTGAAGGGGCTATTAAAATTTCTGACCCAGAAATAGGTTCTTTTCAATTGAGGGTAATGTAAAATTCCATTTAAGAAAATCAACTAACCATATTACCAACACACAAAATATACATAGACAATAATTTCACATGTAAGAATGTATCCTGAGTAGATAACAGCACAAGTATATTAAAAAAAGACATATATAAAGATATCCATCACATTGCTTATAGTAAAAAAATCACAATAAGTTTCATAAGAAAATGATTAAATAAATTGTAGTAGACATACACTGTACTGAACAAATTGGACACTATAAACATGTCATTACCATGGAAAGATGTCTGTGATCCTGGTGAATAAATAAATATATGTATCTATAAGAGTTCAAAAACCAAGAACATTAGAGTTATTTTTAAATACATACTGCTGTTTATACTAGATGTCCCAAGACACTACTGATGCTTGCTGTCTATAAACAATGATGAGGCCATATCAAATAGGTGGAAGAGAAATGTAGAAAAAAAGTATAGCCCATTGACAACATCTAGGACAATTTAAACAAAAAACTGAATAATGACAGTGATGAATTCCAGTCCACTGGGGAGAGTCCAGTGTAGTGAATTATTTGGAATGGCTTTTCTAGCCATCGTCCTTGTGACTCCCCCAGATTACTGGGTGGAACTATGAAAATGTAAGAATGCTTGACCTACCAAGGGGACTGGATAGTCTGCTAATGACATAAGTAAGACACATTGCACCCTTGTGGGTGAGACCATGCAAATAAGGTGTATGGAACTCTAATGTGGGGATTGATTAGATCTGTCATTCTGCTAGGCTTAAAATGAGCCCTTCTAGAGGCAGAAGAGGGGGATCTCATTGCCCTCAAGAGAAAAGAGCCAGAGGTGGAGTGGAGTACATCCTTGGACCCGGGATCCCTGCCCTGGACCTCCTTGGCAGAGAGATGGCAGAGACAACCAGCAGAGATAACTAGTGAGAAATGGCAGCAGTGGAACCAAGAAGCATGAGACAGAGCAGCAGACTTATCGGTCCATGAGTGAAAAAGCTGAGTGCCTTTGGGCAGGAGGCTTGATGGAAGAGTAGGGGTGCACCTAGATGAACCTATTGGCAGAGCTAAAAGGGCTTTAACACTTGCCTGAGGAGGGTAGAGGCCAGGCCCAGGAACCAAGGCCAGAGAGGCATACCTGAGTACGTAGCAGACGGGAGACTGTCCTGATCAATGAATTGTATCCTGAGAGTGTTCCTGAACCTGAATTGTAGCCTGTTACTTCCCTAATAAACCCCGCAATCTTAAGTTTGTCTATGAGTTCTGTGTGGCCACTGCAACAAATTATCGAACCCAGCAAAGAAGTAGTGAGTACCATGGGAGGGATGGTTGGTGTCAGAAATGGTAAAAAGATGGGAGGGTGGTGGCATGTCTGGCATCATAGGAATAAGCCTTAGACTGCTGATGGTGATTTTGTCTCCCCCCCTTGTAAAGTTAGAGGAAGTCAGAAAATGCTGCCCTGTGTCCTTTTTGCTGGAGGAAAAGTACAGAACCATTAGTTTATACTGATAATAAACAGAAAAAAGAGAAAACAAAATCTCATAATAGTGTCCATTGTATTTAGTTACCATGTCTCTCTAGTGTCCTTTAATCTGGAAGAGTTTCTCAGCCTTTCTTTCCCTTTCATGACAATGACACTGTAAAATAACACAGACTAGCTTTGTAGAATGTCCCTTCTTTTGGACAGTCTGATATGTCCTCGCGAATTGATTCAGAACATACATTTTGACAGTAACATTACATAAGTGCTTCATCAGGAGGTAAATGATATTAATTTGTCCCATTTTTAGTAAAATTAATCTTGGTATCTTGGTAAGATGGTGTCTGACAGATTTCTTCATTGTGAAATTAAATTTTTTTTTGGTCATATGTGAAAAAGTACTTTGAAACTACATATTCTATACTGTACCACACTTTCATCTATTACTTTAAGCATCCACATATAACTCCAGAAAGGAGCTCTGGTGGTACAGTGCCTAAGGCATTTGACTGCTAACCAGAAGGCTGGCAGTTCAAACCCACCAGCCACTCTGTGGAAGGAAGACTGGGCAATCTACTTCCATAAAGATTTACCACGTTGGAAACTCAAAGGGGGTCGTTATTAGTCAGAATCAACTTGATGGCAGTGAGTTCCATTTTTTGATATAACTTCAGAATCACAGACTACTATCACAGCTGGAAAACGATAAACTGCCATTTTTGTGTTGGAAAAATGGCAAAAAGAAATGTGACATCCATTTGTTTATCAAGTCTATCTGCTCACCAATAAAAGATTATTCTTTGCAGGATCACTTCTGCTGCTATCATGGATCCATTTTCCCGTTTCAAATGTGTGAGATTCCATCTGTAGTAGTTCAGGTTGTGTGTCAGCTTGGCAGGGTTGTGATTTTGAGTGGCTTGACAGCTAGATGTAATTATTTCCCATGATGAGATTGGATGTGGTGTAATCACCTCCAAGTAGAAATTACTGTGACCTGCTAATTAATTAAATTAATTGAGGGGAAGTTGCCTTCAGGGTGTGGATTGCTTCCAGTATATATAGAGAAGCTTTGGTAAACATGCTGTATAGCCTTTTGCTCATTCTGGGATTATGAATTTAGCTGATCATCATCTCCAGTTCCTGGATCTAAACCAGCAGGCTGCCATGTTGCCTGTTTATCTTGGGATTCACAGCCTAAGAAACAACACTTTGCTATCTTTCCTGCCAACCTTGAGTTCATCAGCCCTTGCAGCAGCAGAAATCAGAAAAAGCCTCCAGCTTGTTCCAGTGGGCCTGGAAGGCAGAGCTGAAGCCCAAGGTCAAGGAGCTTCCACTCAGCCCTACAGCCCTAGAGCTCAGACTTCTAGCCTAGTCTTCCCCTAGAGCCGTCACTCTGAATTCAGACTTTTAGCCTCCTAAACTGTAAGAAAATAAATTTGTTTGTTAAAACCATCCACTTGTGGTATTTGTGTTATAGTAACACTAGAGAACAAAGACACCATCACTCTCCCTGGGAGGTATCTTCTGTAAGTTGTTGTTTGCTGAAACAAAGGAATGTATTCAAACGCATCCTCAGTTGTTTCCCCACTTACTTTAGCAGAACTGTCATTCAGGAACGTAATACTCATTTCTAAGGATCTGTACTAACTTCAAAGAGCCCTTGTGGCACAGTGGTTAAAGTGCTTGGATGCTAACCAAAAGGCCGGCAGTTCGAACCCAACACCTGTTCCACAGGAGAAAGATGTGGCAGTCTGCTTCCATAAAGATTCACAGCCTTGGGAATTCTATGGGGCAGTTCTACTCTGTCCTACAGGTTTGTTATGAGTCAGAATGAACTCAGTGACAGCGGGTTTGGTTTGCTAGTACCTTCTTTTAATCATTAACTTTTGACTTCTGAAAACAATTGCAGTGTAGTAAATTACCTAGGAGCTCTGGTAGCATAGTGCCTAAGGCACTTGACTGCTAACCAGAAGGCTGGTGGTTCAAACCCACAAGCCACTCCTCAGAAGGAAGGCTGGGCAATCTACTTCCATAGTGATACTGCCTCAGAAACCCAAGGAGGGGTTGCTATGAATCAGGTCCGACTCGACGGCACATAACAACAACAACAAATTACCCGGTATGGCTTTTCTAGCCATAAATAAGTCTTTGTAAACTCCATGGTGGTATTTGCCATGAGCAACTGAGGAGCTCCTGATTGTTAACATTATCCACCTGGGGTATTTCTGTTGCGAATGGCACAAAGCAATATTCTGGGAAGTTTGCACTCTCTCAGGTGTTTAGAATTCTGATATTATGATTGGTTAGTTTGTCCACTATGACAGGCTCAAAAGGAGACCTCATAAAGGCAGAAAGAATTGCTCACTGCCAGCTGGGAGATGCAAGACACATGCACTGCTGGGAGAGAGACACTCACTGCTGGGAGAGAGACTGAGAGAGACTGTTGGCTGAAAGACAGCAGGCTGAGAGAGATGGAGCATGTTCCTGAACTTGAATTGTAGCCCACTGCTTCCCTAATAAACCCCATAATCTGTGAGTTCTGTGTGGCCACTGTAGCAAATTAACAAAACCCAGCAGAGAGGTGGTGGTGCTGTGGGAGGAACAGTTGGTGTCAGGGTTTTTGAAAGGGCTGGAGGGAGGCGGCAAGTCTGGCCTCTCAGAAATAGACCTTGAGCTACAGATGGTGATTCTGTCTTCCCCTTGTGGGGTTAGAGGAGGTCAGAAGATGCAGCCTCCTTGACCCTTTGGCAACATTAAAAAGAAATACCAATATAAAGTACAATCTCTTTTATGCATAATTACACACACACATAACTAAATCTGGAATAATGCTCATCAGAATGTTAACTCTTGAAAGTTTATATAATTTTTTGCTTTATACTTTTAATTTTGTCATTAAAGCCTATGTATTTCCCTCTAAATAGGAGCACTGGTAGTGCCTAAGGCACTTGATTGCTAACCAGAAGGCTGGCGGTTCAAACCCACCAGCCACTCCTCGGAAGGAAGGTTGGGCAATCTACTTCCGTAATGATACTGCCTTGGCAACCCCAGGAGAGGTCACTATGAGTTGGGTCCGACTCAACAGCACATTAACAAGAACAACAACATTTCCCTCTGAAATATTCTATCTACTAAAACTATTAATGTCACATTTCAAGCAGGGTTCTATTTAAATCATCAGAATCTGAACACACACACACAACAGAAGAAATCTCTGAAGTTCACCTGCTTCTTAAAAATGCTCATTGTTCAAAGATCCAAATCTGTCCTTATACCAGCTTGGATTCATTTCCTTTTATCAGAAGTTAAGGTGTACTGAGCACCTGTATGCACAGAGATGTTTAAGTGTGAGAAGGAACCTTTAAGGCCTTCAAGAGCTCTCAATGTGTGCCCCCCATCCTTACTTCCTTCATCCTTCTTTTATGCCTTTCATCCTCTTCAAGAAGAAAGCCCTCACAGTCCTCCCTGTCAAAGTTTACAGCCTGCCCATCAGATGCCTGCTTAGCAGGCAGTCTTTTCCACTGACAGGAGATGCTTGGGGCAGCACCGAGAAAAGAATCTCCCCACTGTCACCTCAAGGTCTCAAAAAATGAGAGCTCAAATACTTCCCCCTCTGGATTTCTGAGTCAAGATCAGACCTCACAGGAGCCAGGCTTTCAATACTCATTGAATGTTCTCATTCAAGTGTAGGTGGCTCCCAAATCCCCACCCAGGTTTCCCCTCTATTTCTGAGGACTAGTCAGGTGTCTGGCCAGCAACCCTAATGATACATGTACAAATAAATGTCACATCCTTCTTCCTGTTCATCCTAAGTGAGTAAGATTTGCCTATTTCTCTTTACTGAAGCACTTGTCTCCCAGGACCCTAAGAATCTCATCACCTTGATCACTCCCTCTCCTACCCACCAGCTTGCCACTCCTTTGATATGCAGTCAACGTCAAACACCCTTTGATATACAGTCAACGCTAAAATTATTCTTCCTTCAAAACTACACTCCATGCCCCGGGCTTCATATTTTTTCCTATTCCCAATTTGGCACACTACTGCTGGGTTAAATCTTATTTTGATATTCATACTCTTCCGCTTAGATCCTCTGATCTTCAAATGCTTTCAAATGCCTGCTAATGAAGAACAAACTCTTAACTCAAATTACCACTGTCTTCTCCTATTCTATTTCTGTCCCTGTGTATTGTCTAGTAACATTTCCCAAACTTGTGTTTCTTACAGTTTCAAGGGATGAAAATTTTAAAGGAAAAAAATGGTTCAGACATTAAAAATATTTCAGAATAGCTCATTAAACAAAGGTCAGCAGAGTCCGTCATCAGAATTTTTCAAGGCCTTCACTATGCTCTGTGAGTTGTGATTCTCTCAAAGGGGTATACAAGCAGTGCTTCTCTAATTTCATTGGCCCCGTGAAAAAAATCCTTTTTTCATGAATTTCCTAAGAGACAAATAATCTCCAGAACAAACTTAACAAAGTCCTCCCCTAAAGACATCATAGGCTCCAGTTTAACTGGATACTCATTCCTGGGGCAAATGGCTTTCTTTCTCATCTGAGATTTCATTTATTTCTTTTACCTAGATTCCTCACCCCTTCAATTCCTTCCAAAGAAATCACCCTATACATTAAGGCACAACTCTTGAGACTCAGAGCACTATGATTGTGGTGCAGCAATTCAGAGCACCTACCCAAGAAGCCAGGTTCCTGCAGTCCCTTATAGCATAAACAGTTCATATGTGACTGCTAAACAACAGCAAGGCAGTTCAAACCTACCCACTGGTGCCATGGAAAAAAGCCTGGTGATCTGCTTCTGCAAAGAGTAAAGCCAACAAGATCCTATGGAGTAGTTCTACTTTGTAACATGTGGGGTCACCATGAGTCAGAATCAACTCAAGAGCAATGAGTTAGGTTTTGTTCAAAACCACAGAGCCAGCCTTGTGCTTCATTTATTTCAGTACATTTTACCTTCAAAACTATGTTCATGATTAACAAATACAAGGACTCTGACTCATCTACATCTTCTTTCACTTTCAATCTCTGCTTACAAATAGAAGCAATCTATATTCACATGGGCATATTAACTGCCCTACTAACTATTACCTGCCCTATTAACACAGCAGAATGGCAAGACTTTGTCTCACATACTTTGGACATGTTATCAGGTAGGACTAGTCCAAGAAGGAGGACATCACACTTGCTCACTTGCTAAAGGGCAGGAAGACTTTCAACGAGATGGACTGACACAGTGGCTGTAACAATGGGCTCAAGCACAGCACCGACTATGAGGATGGCACAAGACCAGGCAGTGTTTCGTTCCGTTGTGCACAGGGTGCTATGAGTCAGACCTAACTTGACAGCACCTAACAACAACAACATCACTGAAAACACAAAGAACAGTGGCCCATGTAAGAAATTATTTCCAAATGACTAGAAATTCACAGGTTTGATAACATATGACTGTGGGAAAAGAAATTAGAGAAATGAGAATTTTCACATAGCCAGTGAAATCCAGAGATTCAGGATCTGGACTACTGATAAGCAAGAATGAGGAAACTTCATAAAGGAAGAAAGAAGCAGAATTTTTTTAAAAGTTGCAAATGAAAATAAATGTACATAAAACAGTCTTTTCTTAAGGTCCCTAGGTGGCACAGATGGTCTGCACTCAGCTAGTGACCCAAAGATTATCTGTTTGAACCCACCCTAGGGCACTGTGGAAGATCCACGCCAACCTAACTCTGGAGCCTCAAAAGTCTCTCCAAATGAACACATGAACAAATGAATGCCTCAAAAAAGTCATTTCTTATAACCATAAACTTGCCACCAACCTGGTTATCTTCTATTTCCCAGTGAATCACTTGATTATCGGATCCTCCAGAAATTAATTCTGTTGAAGGAGCTGAAACAAAATTATATTTTGGTATATATATTTTACTTTTTTCCCCAGCTATTACAAAAAATTTCAAAGCTACAGAAAAGTTTTAAAATACCTATATACCCTTTACCTAAATTCACCAGCATGTAACATTTTGTCATAGAGGGAGGTACTTAATAGCTTCCTGCTCTATATATGCACGCATAGACACACACACATTTTTTCCCCTAAACCACTTGAGAGTAAGTTGCAGATAGCATGACCTCTGATGTGCAAACACTTTACCATATTATCTCCTAAGAATTAGGACACTCTTCTATATTATCATGCTATAATTAACACATTCAATGATTATAGCACTGACAGTATTATTACACAACACACGGTCCATATTACAATTTCTTCATTTGTCCTAATGTCTTTTATGACACTTTTTTGGATCCAGAATCTAACCAAGAATCATTGTGCATTTTTGTCTCTTTCATTTAGAATAGTTTCCAAGCTCTCTTTTTTAGTGACAATGAGAGTCCAGGCCAGTTGCTTTGCAAAATGTCCCTCAATTTCGATTTGTCTGATTATTTCCTCATGATCAGGGTAAACACTTTTGGTAGGAATAACATTAAATATTGACAGCTAGGCATATCTTACTTCATTGAGAACTCTAAATGCTTTACATAATGCTATATAGTCAACTGCTGTTACTAAGTATATGATACCTATATTTGAAATCAGACATATCTTTCAAAATAGCTCTTTTAAACATTCATAACTTACTGATAATAGAAGAACAAGAAATAAGAACCAAAAAAGGGGGAGGGAGAAAACATAGTTTTGATTTTCCATTTATTTGTTTCTTCTGGCTTAGGTTCTAGATATTTATTTAGAAAAAGAAAGTAGAGTATAGTCTAAGGAACATAAGATTTGTACTTAGATGTTTCAGGTTCAAGTCCCAATGCTGCTGCCTGACAAGTGTGGTCTTGGCTTTTAATTTCTTCATGCCACAGATACCAAGCCACTTACTTAACCATATGATTCTGAGAATAAGTATGATAAGGTACATGAAATTTGTTAAACATCAGACATGTTAAGAGTATGAATGGTATTAAAATGTTGTATGTCGTGGGTTAGAAGGGGTATTTTGAAATTATTTGGAGGTGGGACCTTATTCTTAGAGGAAATGAATAATTGTTACAGATCACAGTGATACACAAGCGTTCATTTCATACAACCTGTTTACGTGGAAAACAAAATATATAGGTCAGATTAGTATTTTATAATGAATTCCTATACTGAGATGCAAATAGTCTTTGATGTAATTTGATGACAATAACATAATTACAATTGTGTTTTAATATCCACACCAATAACCATCCTTTGTACTCTTTAATGGATTTCACTAATCTAATACATCTTGTGTTACCAACTTTAATTAGTAGCTTGTTAAAATTTTTAATGTCACAGTTAAAATCATAGCAAAGTCTAACAGAGGAAATACTCAATTTGTGCTTGATTCCGAAGGCACTCAAATATCTGAATGAATAATAAACTTAGGTCCAATAAGGATACTATAATAAACCAAAACCAAACCAAACTCTTTGCCATCAATTCTGACTCACATCCACCCTATAGGACAGTGCAGAACTGCCCCATCGGGTTTCCAAGGATATAAATCTTTACCAAAGTAGACTGCCACATCTTTCGCCTGTGGAGCAGCTGACAGGTTTGAACCACCAAACTTTTCATTTAGCAGCCAAGGGCTTTAATCACTGTGCCACCAGGGTTCCGACTGAATATTGCAATAGGTATGTTTAAGAAAACAAAACCTGTTGCTCTCAAGACAATTCTAACTCATAGTGATCCTATAGTTGAGGAAATTCCGTAAGATTTTGGAAGCACCATGTAAAAGCAATCAATGTGCTAATTAATTAATTCTGAAGTGTAAGAATATAGAGATGAAAGACTCTTAGAGATAATCCAGTCCAGCAGTTCTCAAACTTTTTGATCTCAGGAGTCTCTTATACTATAGTAAACTGTGAAAGCCAGAACCTGCGTAAGGCAGAAAAGTGTCAGAGAAGGCAAACTCAATCATTTTCCACTGAAATGAGTGACAGAAAAGTGAAGGCAAACTTGCAAAACTGGAAGAAACAGCTTGGTCTCATCAGGTTCCAGCTCTTGCAGGTTATACCTCAACATAAAGAAAATGAAAATTGTCACAAGTGGGCCAACAAGCAACATCATGATAATTGGAGAAAAGACTGAAGTTGTCAGGGATTTCCTTTTACTTGCATCCACAATAAATACTCATGAAAGCAGCAGTCAAAAAATCAGACATTGTACTGCACTAGGCCAATCTGCTGCAAAAGACCTGTTTAAAGTGTTGAAGAGACCAAAGATGTCACTTTGAAGACTAAGATGCACCTAACTGAAACCATGGTGTTTTCAAATGCCTTATATGCATGTGAAAGCTGGACAATGAATAAAGAAGATAAAAAAAGAACTGCTGCTTTTGAATTGTGGCATTGGCAGAGAATGCTGAAAATACCACAGACTGCCAGAAAACGAACAAATCTGTCCTGGAAGAATTGCAGCCAAATGCTACTTAAGAAGAAGAATGGCCAGACTTTGTCTCACATACTTTGGTGATGTTGTCAGAAGGCACCAGTCACTGAAGAAAGATACCGTGCCTGGCAAAGTGGAGGGTCAGAGCAAAAGGGTAAAAATACTCAACAAGACGGACTGACACAGTGGCTGTGACAATGGGCTCAAGCACAGCACGAACTGTGAGGATGGCGTAGGACCAGGCAGGGTTTCGGTCTGTTATACGTATGAGTTGGGATCGACTCATATGTTGGTCACTATGAGTTGAAATCGACTTGACAGCACCTAACAACAATATTTCAGAAGAGCAGTCAGCCCCAGGGTTACAGGTGAGGAGAGACAACGCAGGGACACCAGAGTAGCAGGCCGGAAGAGCAGGAGAAAGGGGATAGAAGCCTTGAACCCGGACAGAAGAGCAGTCAACCCCAGGGTTACAGGTGAGGAGAGACAACGCAGGGATGCCGAGAGTAGCAGGTTGGAAGAGGAGAAAGAGGATGAAAGCCTTGAACCCAGACAGAAGAGCAATCAGCGGAAGGGATTAGGTGAGGAGGGGAAACTCAGGCCCGCCCAGAGTAGCAGGCCGGAAGAGCAGGAGAAAGGGGATAAAAGCCT